GTATAATTTATAACATAAAGAAATCGTGTAAACTTAGAAATTTTTCATATCTGAATTAAGTTATTTAGTTTCTAATAACTTAGATGTCAGTATTCCTGTCTAAAAATTAGTAACAAATGAAGTGTTAAGAGAAAATTTATTTATTTATTTATTTAGTTGTAGATCAAATAAATGCCGTTTATAACGATAGTACTATATACAGATCAAATTCATGAAGTATAAACTATTCAAATATTCATGGATAAATAATGTTATATGATTTTATGTGAATATTTTTATAATTAATATATTTACTTATTGATAAATATATTGAGAATTGTTTGTGCTTAAAATGTATGAACGATTCGACATAGAATATATAATCGATGAGTTTATTCACTCTATTAATATAATAAATTAAGAAAACGAACAGAATCAACAAAAATACAAATTTATTACTTCAAAATTATAAATAACAATTCCTGTTTTTGTTTTGTTTTTTTTTTTATGTTTGTGTATTTTGAAATGCTTCTAATATTAACTTATCCTAACATTATGTTAGCATTATAAATGATAAGTTTTTTATACAAGAAAAACTGATACTTTATGTAAACATCCTAAGTTTCCCAATTAGATTAGTAAAGATATATATATATATATCTTTACTAATAAAGATATATATATATAAAACAAGTTTTTCACCTTGTTAGAATAATATAAATGAAAATTATTTGGGTTAGAAATACGAAGATAATTGTAAATAGCGCCGTTTCAAAATTTTGTAAAAAAATAATTGATTTATATATATTCTTATTTTTCATATAAACATTAAAAATAAGTATAATTTATTTATTTATCCTGAACTGTCTTCTCGGTCATTGACCGCTTTACTTCTGTGTCCACGTTTTTCTAATCAAAGACGTTTTATCTTCTGAAACGGTGACAATTTTATGACTTGTCTATTGTTACATTTTGGGTAATAGAAGATTTTATGGTAAAGATAATGTTTCGCTTGTCTGATATATTTTATCTATATAATCTTCTCTTTATAAGTATAATATGTTTAACGTAGCTAATACTTACACTTATCATATATCTTATATTAAAGTGCTAAAAGAGATGGAAGCCTTTTTAATAACTTGCCATCTCGTAATTTTACGTACTCGTATCAATATTCTTCTTAAATTTACATATTTTACATAACTAGCGGATAGAAATGAAGACAATTAGTTTCACAGCAATGATTGTTTTAATTGCGAACATATTCTAGTCATTGCTTAGAATATAATTTTAATTATTTTTAGAATTCAAATAATTTTATTTTTCAGATAAAATTTATGATTGAAATAAAAAATAAAATTTCTTAATAGTGTTAAAATATAATTTAATATTTCAATAATTGTGAAAGTACATTATATATAATTTAACTAATACATATATTAATAGCATACCTTTTTATAAATTCAGTCCGATTTAACTATAATATATATATATATATATATATATATTATGAATTTAATCCTTTTGTGCATTTAATCTTTTAGGTTTATTTTTGTTTTTAGTTTTATATCGCCTTATTTTATTATTTATATTAATGTGGCTTCAATCTACTTATTATAGTTATTTGTATAGTGATTGGTTAATTTATTTTACGTTTTAATTTTGAATATTTAATGTTCGAAAGTTCCGTTTTAACGCAATTTTCAAAGTTGTTCGATAGCCTATCACAGGTTACTCTAATTCTTTTACAAACCATGTCAATTCATCTTTCCATAAGAACCCACTTACAACTCTATTTGATGCCAAAAAAGCTGCCTTACCCTGGGATCAGCTGTTAAATCACTGCAGGACAGTATTTGAAACTTTTAATCTGACAGATGAAGAAATTGATTTTATTAAAGAAAACACACCAGCACAGAGTAGAAGCAAACTGTGGTCTTCTTTAGATCAGATTAGAATAACTGTTTGTTATGAGAAGTGTGTGTAGAGCAGATATAGAGACTCCA